GGAAAAGCAATAAGTAAAGTAAGTGCATGTCGAAATACACTCGTATGTGCGTAAAAACACAATGTCGGCGAAAGAAATGGAAAATAAACTCATACAAACGTAATATCGTTAAAAAATTTGTTTTTTTGTTTTAAAAAAATCAAAATATCAATATATAAGCATATTAAAATTGTTTTGTTTTTTTCAAAAATTATTACATATCGTAAAAAGAAAGATCGAGATAATATAAAATGTCAAGTAGTGCTTTACGTGCAGTAGTCGTTTAAATGTTCTGGAAATCTTACTCTTCTTCCAGAACGTGTCGTTTTAAGTTTATTTTCAGACATATTCGGAGTGTCATCGCTAGTGTTGGTTGTTGGTTGAGGAATTATGAGTGTAGGAGTCGTGTTGTGCGATTGTACCGAAGGGAAATCGACGTGAATAGGATCTCCTAAATACCCTGCTTTTAAGCGATCGATGCTGATGCTATCGTTTGTTTCGTTCTTATCGACTATATAGTATTTAGATTCGCGTTGAAGAACTTTGAAAGGTCCTTTGTATGCTGATTCGAATGATCGTCGATTTGCGTCCCGACAAACGAAAAAGTGTGTACTATATTGTAAGTCAGGTTGAACGAAAACATCGGTGGATTGTAGTCGTGTGGAAGCAGGTTCAACTGAACGCATTGCGTTTGTAAGCCTGTTCGTTTAGGAGGTTAGATCCATGTTCATTAAAGAGGGTGAAGGATGCACGAATTCTCCTAGAAGTCGAAGTTTCATTTCATAAACGAGTTGAGCCGCAGTGTATCCAATGTCAGCCTTCCCTGCATTGCGGATACCTAGTAGGACGAGTGGAAGAGCGTCGGTCCACTGTGAAACGTTTTCAGCTGATAGTGACGCTCTTAGTTGTTGGTGAAAGCGCTCTACCAACCCGTTTGCTTGTGGGTGGTAGGCGTTCGTTCGGAAGCGAGTGATTCCTAAAAGTGTGGTCAGGCGACGGAAAAGTTCAGACTCAAACTGACGTCCGCGGTCTGTAGTGATGGTTGAAGGGCAACCGAAGTTTGCTACCCATCGTTCGACGAAGGTGCGGGCCACTGTTTCAGCAGTGATATCCTTGATAGGTACTGCTTCTGGCCATCGAGTGAAACGATCTACACAGGTTAAGAGGTAAGAGTATCCATTTGAATATGGTAAAGGTCCTACCAAATCCAGATGAACATGGTCGAAACGAGCATCGGGAGTTTTAAATGAGCCTAAGGGACATTTATTGTGTCTGATGACCTTAGATTTTTGGCAGCTTACACAGGAGCGTGCCCACTCCTTCAGGTCTTTATTCATGCCAGGCCAGCAAAACCGTTCTGCTATAAGCTTGATGGTTGCACGAACACCTGGATGAGAAAGTTTGTGCAATGTGTTGAAGACATTGCGTCGATAATGTTTCGGGACGATTGGGCGATCCCTTCCTGTAGATGTGTCACAAAGTAAAGTTTCCTTACCTGTTCCCATCTGTTTGATGCGTAGTTTAAGGGTTGTAGACGATAACTCGTGCTGAAGATCAGTGTCTTATTTTTGAAGCTGGGCGAGTTTAAGAAGTTCGATTCCTTGGAAACTGTTCAAGGAATTTATTCGAGACAAGGCGTCTGCAACTACATTGTTTGCTCCAGAAATATGTTGAATATCTGAAGTAAACTGTGAAATGTAGTCCAGTTGTCGAGACTCACGGAGAGAGTACTTGTCAGAAGGAGAGCTTAACGAGAAAGTGAGCGGTTTATTGTCCGTGAAAAGAGTGAATTCACGGCCTTCGATATAGTGTTGGAAATGCCGTACAGCACAATACATAGCTAGGAGTTTCCTACCGAATGTGCTGTACCTTGATTCGGTGTCTAGCAACCGTCTAGAGAAAAATGCCAAAGGTTGCGGGGAGTTGTTAATCCATTGTTGCTTGATCGTGGTCGGTTCTGGGTAATCCAGAATTGCTGCCACTTTGGTTCAAAGGGGTCGAATGCTTTGAGCATCTTAAGTGTGTCCTAGGAAGTTTAATGAGTCGGTTCCGATTTAGCATTTCTGAACGTTTACAGAAATGCAATGTTTGTGTAGTCATTCGAAAACAAGATCCAGATGCTTGAAATGTGAAACTCTGTCCGGACTTGCGATTAGGCAGTCGTCAACATACTCATGTACGAAGTTGAGACTTCGAAAAACGTCGTCTATGAATCTTTGGAATGTTTGAGCGGCGTTTCTTAGACCGAAAGGCTTTCGCAACAATTAATAGACTCCGAAGGGAGTAATGATGGTGGTTTTCGGAATGTCGTCTGTAGCCGTAGAGATTTGGCTGTACGCTTTAACCAAGTCGATTTCGAAAAATAGTTGTACCTTTCAAGGTAGCTGTCAAATCGTGAATGTGTGGCAACGGGTAACGATCGGGAATGGTTTTTGCATTCGGTCGCTGATAGTCACCAGTTGGACGCCAATCGTTGCTGTCCTTTTTAGGGATCATGTGCAACGGAGATGCATATGGGCTATTTGACGGTCGTATGATTCCTAAGTCTATCATGTGATCGAACTCGTTTTTCGCTAACCTTAGCTTTTTAGGGGCTAGTCGTCGTGCTTTAGAGAATACAGGTGGTCTTGTAGTCGTGATGTGGTGTGTAACGTTGCTGGTTACACACGGTATTTTCGGTTGCGTTTGATGAATCGCAGGATACTTATCAAGTAATGGTTGATAAAGTGGGTCTTTCGCATGCTTAATTGTGACTGGGGATAATCTGAAACCAGAAAAAGAAGTTACGCAAACGGATAAATTAGTGTTTCCGTCTACTAGCCTCCGTCGATGATTAGATTATGATGTTGTAGAAGATCCATAACAATGATTGGCATAGAAGCATCTGCAACAACGAAAATCCAGTGAATGGGTTTGCGTAAACCCTTGCTCAGGTAAACGTACCTTTTGCCATACGTAGCGATAGGTTTTCCGTTTGCCGCCTGTAAATTTAAAGCCGATTCGTGAAGCCGGTCGTTGGAATTCGCTATGAGAACGCTAACGTCTGCGCCAGCGTGATCGCTTACGGTGGCTACGAAAATTAAGATACCGCGTAAGTGTATGACATAACTCTGTTATGTCATTCTGAGTCGTTTGAGGCTTTTCTTTGACTGAAAAAACCTCGGCAGTAGAAGATTTCGTAATTTCTAAGATACAATCGGCAGATGCAGCCAGCTTGTCTAAGGCGTTGTTCTGAAACGAGACCAGAACCGCTTGCTCCTGTTGGGGAAGTTTAGACAAGAAGAGTTGTTTGAATAGGCCTTCGTCGAAAGTTCTTAGTCCTATAACCTCTCTCATCCTTTGCAACATATCCGTCGAGGAACCGTGTTGCAGTTCTATGTTATTAAAGAGTTGGCCTACCCTTTTTCGATCGGTTAGGTCTCCTCGTTTAAGGATGGAACGCTTTAACGTTTCGTACGGTTCAGAAACATCACTAGTAAACATACTGGGTGTTACGTACCTGCTGAATTCCCGCGGTGGTGCCTTGACTACTGCGAGGAATTGTGCACGTGTGTCGTTCACGCCGTGCTCGTGGAAGTCGGCTTCTGAGTAGCAGAACCAGGCTTCGATATTGTCGGGCCAGAACGGCATGAGTTGAACCGAGGGTGGGGACATGGTCTTAATCTTAAATACCTTGGTGGTCTGTTCAGTCATAGGGGAAAACTAAGCACGAGAATACACGAGTGAAAAATATATAGATATTCAAAAACACGGAAAAATATCACAATGTATAAAAAATCAAAATAAAGCAATGATATATAGAATCCCAAAATGGAACAGACTCACTGTTTAAGATTTGGTGTACCAGTTCACGTCGGTCTCACCAATGAAGGTGACACAGGTATTCAGTGTTTGACAACGCTTTTACCAGAAACACCTTAAATAACTCGTACCCACCAAGAGAAACCAAAAGACAGAATCGAGGAGATCAGAAGTTGTATTTGACGATTGCCAATATATTGGAATTATCTGATCTAATCTGGCTAGCGATTGCAGTAGCAGTTGAGCACGGCATTCCCACACGTGAACTGATGCGGATGCATGGCCGAGAGCCCTCAGCTAGGTGAGTCCACTAAAACTAATGTGGTCAGCATCCAATGTCGAAAACTTACAGAGCTATTTATTTTGGGGAATTATTTTCCGCTACAACAGTATTCGTTCGTCCTAAACTCGAGTACACATACAATTGTCTAACCGCTGCCTAAAAGAGACAGTGAGCCGTTGGATAAGGTTCGAAGAATCGTAACTAAGCTGACTTCTGGAATGCCAAAGCTTGGCTGGCCAAGATAAACCTAATATCCATTGTCATGAGGATGATACAGGTATTCAGTGTTTGACAACGCTTCTACCAATAACACCTTCTAATATGCTTTGTTCCCACCGAGAGAAATCAAAAGACAGAGTCGAGGAGATCGGAAGAGTGTATTTGGCGATAACCAATATATCGGGAATCTCTGATCTAATCTGGCTAGTGGTTGCGATTGTTGTTGAGCACAGCGTGACAGCACGTGATCTGGTGCGGATGCATGACCGAGCGCCTTCAGCTAGATGAGTCCACTAAAACATATGGTCAGCATCCAATGTCGAAAACCTATTGAGCTATTTAGTTTGGGGATTTATTTACCGCTACAGATCACTCCCCCCCTAGTGGGGCAGTGATGACCCTAAGACGTGGCCAGCCAGAAGTTTAAACCCAACGAGTTTGTCGTTGGTAAACACTCTTCTGATAGCTTACTAAATTTAGCAGCGTCTGGTCGTCTTTCCTTACTATATGGCACCGGAGTACAACATAGTAAAAAAAAATGTACAATGAAAATTTCGTATCCTCATAAACGTCGTCGTTCTTTTCCAGCCGTCCTGGAAAAGAAGAAAGAAAATGTAAGTGCATGTCGAAAATACACTCGTATGTGCGTAAAAAAAGGAAAATAAACTCGTAAAATCGTTTTTTTGTTTTTTTTTTAAATAGAAATGAAAATATATAAGCCTATTTAAAAAAAAATTATTTTTTAATAATATAGAAAATGTCGAGAAGTGCCTTACGTGCAATAGTCATTTAAATGTTCTGGAAATCTCACTCTTCTTCCAGAACGCGTCGTTTTAAGTTTATTTTCGGATACTGTCGAAGTATCATCATGAGTGTTGGTTGTCGGATGAGGTATTATAAGTGTCGGAGTCGTGTCGTTCAATTGTACCGAAGGAAAATCCACGTAGATAGGATTTCCTTCTAAATACGCTGCTTTGAGGCGATCGATGCTGATGCTATCGTTGGTACCGTTCTTATCGATTATATAGTACTTCGGTTCGCGTTGAAGAACTTTGAAAGGTCCTTCGTATGCTGATTCGAAAGGTCGTCGATGCGAGTCTCGACGAACGAAAACGTGTGTACTATATCGTAACTCAGGTTGAATGAAAACATCAGTTGATTGAGGTCGAGTGGAAGCAGGTTTAACTGAACGCATTGCGTTTGTAAGCCTGTTCGTGTAAGAGGTTAGATCAATGCTCAATGAAGAGGATGAAGGATCCACGAATTCTCCTGGAAGTCGAAGTGTCGTTCCATAAACGAGTTGAGCCGCAGTGTATCCAATGTCAGCTTTCACTGCATTGCGGATACCTAGTAAGACGAGTGGAAGAGCGTCGGTCCACTGTGAAACGTTTGCAGCTGATAGTGAAGCTTTTAGTTGTCGGTGAAAGCGTTCTACCAACCCGTTTGCTTGTGGGTGGTAGGCGGTCGTTCGGAAGCGAGTGCTTCCTAATAGTGTGGTCAGACGACGGAAAAGTTCAGACTCAAACTGACGTCCGCGGTCTGTAGTGATGGTTGAAGGGCAACCGAAGTTTGCTACCCATCGTTCGACGAAGGTGCGGGCCACTGTTTCAGCAGTGATGTCCTTGATAGGTACTGCTTCTGGCCATCGAGTGAAACGGTCTACACAGGTTAAGAGGTAAGAGTATCCATTTGAATCTGGTAAAGGTCCTACCAAATCCAGATGAACATGGTCGAAACGAGCATCGGGAGTTTTAAATGAGCCTAAGGGACATTTATTGTGTCTGATGACCTTAGATTTTTGGCAGCTTACACAGGAGCGTGCCCACTCCTTCACGTCTTTATTCATACCAGGCCAGCAAAAGCGTTCTACTATGAGCTTGATGGTTGCACGAACACCTGGATGAGAAAGTTTGTGCAATGTGTTGAAGACATTGCGTCGATAATGTTTCGGGACGATTGGGCGATCCCTTCCTGTAGATGTGTCACAAAGTAAGGTTTCCTTACCTGTTCCCATCTGTTTGATGCGTAGTTTAAGGGTTGTGGACGATAACTCTTGCTGAAGATCAGTGTCTTCTTTTTGAAGCTGGGCGAGTTTAAGAAGTTCGATTCCTTGGAAACTGTTCAAGGAATTTATTCGAGACAAGGCGTCTGCAACTACATTGTTTGCTCCAGAAATATGTTGAATATCTGGAGTAAACTGCGAAATGTAGTCCAGTTGTCGAGACTCACGGGGAGAGTACTTGTCAGAAGGAGAGCTTAACGAGAAAGTGAGCGGTTTATGGTCAGTGAATAGAGTGAATTCACGGCCTTCGATATAGTGTTGAAAATGCCGTACAGCACAATACATAGCTAGGAGTTCCCTACCGAATGTGCTGTATCTCGATTCGGTGTCTAGCAACCGTCTAGAGAAAAATGCCAAGGGTTGCCAGGAGTTGTTAATCCATTGTTGTAAGACTCCTCCGATTGCCGAGTCGGATGCGTCTACTGCGATACTAATGGGTGCTTTAGTGTCCTGATGTGCGAGCATTGTTGCTTTAGCGATCAGTTCCTTAACTGTGGAGAATGCTTTTCGTGCGGTGTCGTCCAAATTAATGGATTTCGCATTTCCACGAAGTTGGTCAGTAAGAGGTTTCATAAGTAATGCGCATTTCGGTATGAAGCGTCTATAGAAACTTACCAGGCCGTTAAACGTGCGTAATTGCTTGACGTTGGTCGGTTCTGGGTAATCCAGAATGGCCGCCACTTTGGTCCTAAGAGGTCGAATGCCTTGAGCATCGATAGTGTGTCCTAGGAAATCTAACGAGTCGGTTCCGAATTGGCATTTCTGAACGTTTACAGTAATGCCATGTTTTTGTAATCGTTCGAAAACAAGATCCAGATGCTTGAGATGTGATTCTCTGTCCGGACTTGCGATTAAGCAGTCATCAACATACGCATGTACGAAGTTGAGACCTCGAAAGACGTCGTCTATGAATCTTTGGAAAGTTTGCGCAGCGTTTCTTAAACCGAACGGCATTCGCAAAAATTCATAGAGTCCGAAAGGAGTTATGATAGCTGTTTTTGGTATGTCGTTTGTAGCCATAGGGATTTGGTTATACGCTTTAACCAAGTCGATTTTCGAAAAGACAGTTGTACCTTTCAAGGTAGCTGTCAAATCGTGAATGTGTGGCAACGGGTAACGATCGGGAATGGTTTTTGCATTCAATCGCCGATAGTCACCAGTTGGACGCCAATCGTTGCTGTCCTTTTTAGGGACCATGTGCAACGGAGATGCATAAGGGCTGTTTGACGGTCGTATGATTCCTAAGTCTATCATATGATCGAATTCGTTTTTCGCTAACCTCAGCTTTTCCGGAGCTAGTCGTCGTGCTTTAGAGAATACAGGTGGTCCTGTAGTCGTGATGTGATGTGTAACATTGCTGGTTACACACGGTAGTTTACTTTGAGCTTGTTGTATCCCAGGGTACTTGTCGAGTAGTGGTTGATAAAGTGGGTCTATCGAATGCTTAACTGTGACTGGGGATAATCTACAACCAGAAAAAGAAGTTACGCAAACGGATAATTTAGTGTTTCCATCTACTAGCCTCCGTTTGCGCGTGTCGATGATTAGATTATGATGTTGTAGAAGATCCATACCAATGATTGGCATAGAAACATCTGCAACAACGAAAATCCAATGAATGGGTTTGCGTAAACCCACGTTAAGGTAGACGTACCTTTTGCCATACGTGGCGATCGGTTTTCCATTTGCCGCCTGTAAGTTTAGAGTTGATTCGTGGAGCCGGTCGTTATGATTTGCTGGGAGAACGCTAACTTCTGCGCCAGTGTCGACGAGGTAGCGAACTCTCGTTGTCACATCTGTGACGTACAACAGACGGCTATGTTCGCCGGCTACGGTTGCCGTTAACGCGTGCCGGCTTAGAAGTTTCCCGAATTGTTTTTCGAGTCAGTCGTTTTCGTGTTGGGAAAATTGCAGGGTTTTCTGCAATTTCTGGAAGATTTTCCATACTGGTTATGATACCAGCACCAGTCAGGGTTATCCGTCTCTCGTGGTCTAGAGACAGATCGTTTACGCGAAATGCTTCTACGTGGACTGCGTGAGCGACTACGGTCGTTACGAAGATTAAGATAACGCGTGAGTGTATGACATAACTCGGTTATGTCATTCTGAGTCGTGTGAGGCTTTTCTTTGACGGAAAATACCTCTGAAGTAGACGATTTCGTTATTTCTAAAACACGATCGGCAGATGCAGCTAGCTCGTCTAAGGCGTTGTTCTGAAACGAGACCAGAACCGCTTGCACCTGTTGAGGAAGTTTAGACAAGAAAAGTTGTTTAAATAGACCTTCGTCGAAAGTTCTTAGGCCTATAACCTCTCTCATTCTTTGCAACATGTCAGTCGCAGAACCGTGTTGCAGGTCGATGTTATTGAAGAGTTGATCTAACCTTTGTCGATCGGTTAGGTCTCCTCGTTTAAGAATCGAACGTTTTAGGATTTCGTAAGGTTCAGAAACATCACTAGTAAACATACTAGGTGTTACGTACCTGTTGAATTCGCGCGGTAGTGCCTTGACTACTGCGAGGAATTGTGCACGTGTGTCGATCACGCCGTGCTCGGAGAAGTCAGCTTCTGCGTAGCAGAACCAGGCTTCGATATTGTCGGGCCAGAAAGGCATGAGTTGAAACGAAGGCGGGGACAAAGTCTTAAGCTTGAGTATTTTGGGTGTCTGTTCAGCCATGATGAAATATGAAGTACGATAATGAACGAGTTGCAATATATATATATATCCAAGGAAAAACACGAAAAAAATTACAATGTTTAAAAAAAATTAAGGTAATAATATATAAAAATTCCAAAAAGGAACAGACTCACAGTTGCAATTAGGTGTACAAGATCACGTCGGTCTCACCAATGAGGATGATACAGGTATTCAGTGTTTGACAACGCTTCTACCAATAACACCTTCTAATATGCTTTGTTCCCACCGAGAGAAATCAAAAGACAGAGTCGAGGAGATCGGAAGAGTGTATTTGGCGATAACCAATATATCGGGAATCTCTGATCTAATCTGGCTAGTGGTTGCGATTGTTGTTGAGCACAGCGTGACAGCACGTGATCTGGTGCGGATGCATGACCGAGCGCCTTCAGCTAGATGAGTCCACTAAAACATATGGTCAGCATCCAATGTCGAAAACCTATTGAGCTATTTAGTTTGGGGATTTATTTACCGCTACAGTCATATAGAAGAACCAGAGGCGACTTGATCACAGTTTTTAATTTACTTCGTGATGAGTTTGCATTTGATATGCCCTCAATTTTATTGTCTTCCAAAACAAAGAATTTACGAAGACACTCCAAAATGATTCACAAGTCCAGAACAAATTATTTTTCAGCTGACTATCGACTTTCCCATTGAATCATCTACAAATGAAATTCGTTACCTCAACACGTAGTTGAACCTACATCTGTGGACGCTTCTAAGAAGAATTTGGATCAGCTGAGAGACCACCACCGTCAGTACAAATACAGGCTACCTATCCTCCTATCCCTTTCCAAGCGGAAACTGAAATGAAACTCAAGTATCCTGTAGAGATTTGAAGGTCGTTGAAACGTAAGATGAGTAGCGGCTGTTCAAAGCGCTTAGGAAATGGGTTTATGAGGTCTCAGTCGTTTAGTTTTTCCGCCCATGTCTCTGGATTTCATCCGCCCTCCATCCGCCCCAGTTTTCAACCCAACACCTGAAGAATTTACTGACCCAATTAGTTATGTTCAACGTATTTCCCCTATAGCATTTAATTACGGGATTTGTAAAATACGCCCCCCAAATGTAAGGATCTTATCATATTTATTATTTATTAATTTTGCAAGGGCTGGAAGCCACCATTCTCTGTCGATCAACAAAACTTTACTTTTGTTCCCAGAGTGCAGGAGTTGTCTGATGTTAGTGCGTATAATCGTGTCAGATATCATTTTATTACTTCTTTGATAAATTTTTGGGAGGCTCAGGTAGTGTGGAGTACCTAATGACTGCATTCTTTAGGATGTTACACTGTTTGTCCCCCAAATAAAGGGGAAAAGTATTGATATTTATCGATTATGGAAACAGGTAAAGTGTACTGGCGGCTACCAAACTGTGTGCGAAAAAAAGCTTTGGTGTAAAATTTGTGGAGAAATTGGCTTGCCTGCAATTCCATCTTTTGCCTCTGCTCTGTGTTCACACTATAAGAAGTACTTGTTACCCTATGATACGTTTATCGCTGATG